GATAACGAGCCTCTCCTTGGTCTGACTCTAGTCAGGCTGCTCTGAATTCTCTTCCTGACTGGGCCTTGACTTTCATACTTGTGTGTCCATCGCCCAATTTTAGTGAGAATCCTGCTAAGTCGGTTTAGCCAGAATGCCCCAGGACTGGTGTCTGGTCATGTTCCTCATCTGATCATGTTCCTCATCCTCCATCATCCCCCAGCTGATGTGCCTGATCACCCTGGCCTGCCTTCAGCAAGGACCCTTTGAGGTCCCCTCTTATCCCTGATTGTCTCCTCTCTGTAATTTTCTACCCACTGACACCCTCCCACCCTGCTCCTTGGCTGTAAATTCCTACTTTTTCCTGTTGCATTTGGAGTTGAGCCCAAGCCCGCTGTGGTCCCTATGTCTATCACAATAATCCCCCTGAATAAAGTGTACCTTGCCAATTCTTTAACAAGTGTCATGAATAGTTTTTTCTGTAACAGTACTCAGTACATTCTAACTTTGTAAACTTTATTTTGATGTCCTTGAAATCAGAATCAGTTCATATTCAGGAAGAGATTTTTTTAGGGGGACTTATCTCAAGTCAAAACTCCTGAGATAATTTTAATGGATTCCAAAAAGAAGAGATATTACAGTCATGGTTTCCAACCATTACACATTAAAACTAGAAATTAATGCTAAGCAGATAACAAAAGCTTACCATCTAAAAATATTAAAAAATATTCTAAATAACATTTGGATGAAGGAGGAAATTCAAGATTATTGTGAAATAAATGATGAGAATCCTATAAATCATCACTATGGGTTGTGGCCCTAGCTGTGATCTCAGAAGAATTCATAGCCCTAAGTTCTTTCATAGTTAAGCAAGAAATATTACAATATAAACAAAACATTCAATTCAAAAAATTATAAACAAACAATAAATTGAAAGGAATTATTAATGATGAAAGTAGAGATAAATGCATTGGAAGACAAAAACAGAGCAACAGCAAAAAAAACTAAAGTAGAACTGATACATTAAACCAAAATTGGTTCTTGGGGAAAAGACAAATAAATAATAAGTCTGATTGAGAGGGAAAACACAAATCAATGATATTAGAAATGAGAAAGCCTTTTTTAAAATTACAAAAAAATTCTTGTGACAATTTTATGCAGGTAAATTTTAAGGTCAAAATAAAATAGACATACATGTAAATTAGTAATACTAATGTAAGAGGAAGTATAAAATCTGGGAGGGACACCTGGGTGGCTCTGTTGGTTAAGTATCTGCCATTGGCTCAGGTCATGATCCCAGAGTCCTGGGATGGAGCCCCGCATCAGGCTCCCTGCTCTGCGGGAAGCCTTCTTCTCCCTCTCCCACTCCCCCTCCTTGTGTTCCCTCTCTCACTGTGTCTCTGTCAAATAAATAAATAAAATCTTTAAATAAATAAATAAATAAATAAATAAATAAATAAATATAAAAATAGGGGCGCCTGGGTGGCTCAGATGGTTAAGCGTCTGCCTTCAGCTCAAGTCATGATCCCAGAGTCCTGGGATTGAGCCCCACATCAGGCTCCTGGCTCAGCAGGGAGCCTGCTTCTCCCTATCCCTCTGCTCTCCCCCTGCTCATGCTCTTTCTCTCTCTGTATCTCTGTGTCTCAAATGAATAAATAAAAAATCTTTAAAAAAAATAAAAATAAAAATAAAATAATATGTCATTACCAAATAGTGCATGTTACAGAAATTCAAAGTTATTTTAGCTGTAGGGGGGAAAATATGATCTCAAGATGCATGCTAAGAAATATATTATTGAGGGACGCCTGGGTGGCTTAGTCGGTTAAGTGTCTGCCTTTGGCTCAGGTCATGATCCCAGGGTCCTGGGGTGGGGAGCCTCCTTCTCCCTCTACCTGCTGCTCCCCGTCCTTGTGTGCTCTCTCTCACTCTTGCTCTATCTCTGGCAAATAAATAAAGATAAAGTCTAAAAAAAAAAGAAATACAGTATTGAATAAAATTCAGAAGGCATTCCAACTATTAACATGACATTAACATGATATAAGACAACTATAAGAAACCTAATTAAACATATTTAAAGGTGAAATGGTAGAGACATTCCAATTAGATTCAGAAGCTAGATATAGGTGCCTATTTTCACAGATTTGTTCCGTACTATTTGCCCTCATTAGCCAATACACAAAGCAAGAAAGTGAAATGTGGTCTAAACATTCCAAAGAAAGAGTAAAATTGCTTTTATTTGTGGATAATATGCATGTCCTCTTAGAAAATCTAATGGAAACCACTGAAAAATTATTAGGATTCACTAGAGTGAAAGAATACAATATAAATACAGAGATATCAATAATGTTTCTGTATATAATTTTTTTCAAGATTTTATTTATTAATTTGACAGAGAGAGACACACAGAGAGAGAGGGAACACAAGCAGGGGGAGCTGGAGACAGAGAAGTAGGCTCCCCGCTGAGCAGGGAACCCGACGTGGGGCTCAATCCCAGGACCCTGGGATCATGACCTGAGCCAAAGGCAGATGCTTAATGACTGAGCCACGCAGGCGCCCCCTGTGTATTTTTTTTTTTAAGATTTTATATATTTATTTGAGAGAGGGAGAATGGGCATGAGAGGGGGGAGGGTCAGAGGGAGAAGCGGGCTCCCCGCTGAGCAGGGAGCCCAGTGCGGACTGGATCCTGGGACTCCAGGATCATGACCTGAGCCAAAGGCAGTTGCTTAACCAACCGAGCCACCCAGGCACTCCCCTCTGTATATTATTAATACATAGAAAATGTAATGGAGCAAAACAAGCCCATTCACTTTAGTAACAAAAACTATAACAGGATTGAGCTTCACAAAGAATATATAACACCTATCTGAAAACAATCTAAAAACTTTCCTTTAAACAAAACATAAGAGATCTGAAAGTGGAAAACTATTCAATTCAATATTCCTGCACAGGAATACTCCATAGTATAAAGATAGCAATTCTCTCAAAAGTTATACATTGAATTAAATTAATAAATTGAAAGAAACACTAATAAAAATTCCAATGTGAGTTTTATCACTAGGTAGAAGCTGAAAGGAGAGATTTGACAATTTGATGTTAAATTTACCTAGAAGTTAATACTCCAATTTAACCCAGGAATTTAAAAAATTACATTAAAAAAAGAATTACAGGAGGAGTCACGCCATAGAAAATACCAAGATTTATTAAAAATTAGATTGGGGGCACCTGGGTGGCTCAGTCGTTAAGCGTCTGCCTTCAGCTCAGGTCATGATCCCAGGGTCCTGGGATAGAGCCCCGCATCAGGCTCCCTGCTCCGTGGGGAGTCTGCTGTTCCCTCTCTTGCTGTGTCTCTCTCTGTCAAATAAATAAATAAAATCTTTAAAAAAAAAAATTAGATTAGGAAAAAAAATGGGAGGAGTAATAAGACCAGAAGATCAGTAGACCAAAAACAAGGCTATATACATGGGAATGTATGGGTGAAGTTTGGTAGAACATAAAGTTGGCATCTCAAATTAAAAAAAAATTGAATTAGTTGATAAAAGGAGCCAGATCAATTGATGATCCATGTAGGAAAAAAAATGTTAAATCTCTTTGTTTCTTTTTTTTTTTAAGATTTTATTTATTTGAGAGAGAGAGAATGAGTGAGAGAGAGCATGCACATGAGAGAGGGGAGGGTCAGAGGGAGAAGCAGACTCCCTGCTGAGCAGGGAGCCCGATGCGGGACTTGATTCAGGACTCGATCCCGGGACTCCAGGATCATGACCTGAGCCGAAGGCAGTCGCTTAACCAACTGAGCCACCCAGACGTCCCTCTACTTTGTTTCTTAAGCACAAACATTTCAGGACAGTGGATTTAGGAACTAAATATGAAAAAGAAAAATGACAGCATAAGAGTAAATACTTTTAAAAATATGTTCAGGGTAAAGAAGGCTGTTCCAAGCCATACAAAATTCACTATATAGTGATTTTAGGATTCTGAACAATGAAGGGTAAAGTTTAAAAAACAAATAATGGGGCACCGAGCTGGTTCATATTAATAGATGGACAAATGTGCTGCAAAGTTTGAAAGTGATTCTTAGGGGCTTTATCTTTCTACATTTTATATTTATGTATTTTAATTTCATATAACTTAATTAAATTGCTTTTATTTTTAGAAAAAATAATTTATTAATACACAGAAAAAAGAGGAAAAAATCTAATTGCTCTCCACAGTCATAAGATTTATTTCAAATTTAGGTTTGTCCCATAGGCTATCATTTACATATATATATATATATAATTTTAAAGATTTTATTTATTTGACAGCGAGAGACACAGCGAGAGAGGGAACACAAGCAGGGGGAGTGAGAGACGGGGAGAAGCAGGCTTCTCGTGGAGCAGGGAGCCCGATGCAGGGCTCGATCCCAGGACCCTGGGATCATGACCTGAGTGAAAGGCAGATGACACTTAATGACTGAGCCACCCAGGCGCCCCTAGGCTATCATTTAAATATAGACACATTTTCTATGTGAGCTGTAGTCTGTACATAGCTATTTAGGAACCATGGCATGATATTCAAAGTCGATTTCTTAGTTTAAGGGGGAAAAAAATGAAGATACTATATAGTTTATCTTAAAAAGTTAGTACCTAAATCTCTCAGTATCAACAATTCTAACTACAATAAATGAAATTTCTTCCTTCTTTTATATTTTGTTATCTGCAAATTCAAAACTTCCAAGAACCCATTTCCATGCAGTGCTCCTTTCTAATATAGTGTTCACAGGTAAGCACATACTCACAAATCTATGGAGCAATCATAGACATTTATCTTAAGAGTGAATAAAGTTTCATTTTACTAAGATCAGCAGAGTAAAAGCACATGCTAACAGTGTAGTGATGGCCTTCATCAATACACAAATATTGAACAAAAAGACTACAAATCACAAAACATTCCAGTAGTACTGCAGATGTTTCTGATAAAATGTGACATTTGTTTTTCAAGCAAGATGACTAAAATTGGGCACCTCTGCCTATTTATTTCTTCAGGTGGATGATGCTGAAGAGCCTGACAAAACAGGGGAAAATAAAGCACCCAGTAAGTTCCAGTCCGTAGGAGTGCAAGTAGAAGAAGAGAAGTGGTGAGTCCATTTGCATTTGTCCTCTTTCGTCTTGATATTGGCAAGTATGGTACCAGTATTTTCCCCTGACATAAACCTACAAGATTCAGTGATATTTTCCATTAAGTTTGGAAGCATTTAGCTGATTCCCTCCTCTACTTTAATACTGGAAACCACTCAATTTAAGTTTTTGCTAGAATATTAGAGTAAGCACATCACATCCACATCCACATAAACACTGTGTGCAGGACTGTTGTGTTGCCAAACCATTCTTCAAAAAACCTTCCCATTTTGGACTGTAGACTTTTTAAGAGAAGAGGACTTATCTTATTCCTATTTTTATTCCTAGCACTTAATTGTGTCTGGTGTTTAGTATGTACTCAATGATGAAGAGGGAAGGAAGGAAGGAAGGGAGGGAGGGAGGGAGGGGGAGGAAGGAAGGAAGGAAAGAAGGAAGGAAGGAAGGAAGGAAGGGAGGGAGGAAGGAAGGAAGGAAAGAAGGAAGGAAGGAAGGGAGGGAGGAAGGAAGGAAGGAAAGAAGGAAGGAAGGAAGAAAAAAAGAAAAGATCTATCATTATCTTGAATCACCAGTTCCTTTAGATTGCTCTTTAAAATAATCCTACTCTAGAGTCTTAATATCTAGACTTGGGAAGTTTAGAGTTTCAGAAACTAGAAGGAACTTCTGAAGTCACTACATTCATTTTATGGATGAGAACTTGATCTAGAGAGGTATGTGAGTTTGTCAATAAAACTGTGAGGTACATGATGGGTAGAACTATGTTTTATTGATAGTAGTACCCCCAGCTTCTAGAACTGTGTTTTCACATACTAAGTGTACAATATATATTGGTGAATGAAGTAGAACTGCAGTTAAAGTAGGAGAAAGAGCTCTATATTATAAATCAGAGTATCAGCTCAACTTTGCCACTCACTTTCTGTGTGTTGATTAGAAGGAATCAGTTGGAGGTCATCCATCCATCCATCTATCTATCCATCCAATAAATATCTACAGACTGCCCCCCACATGCAAGGCTACATGCAACATAAACTGAGTATCTGGAAAAAGGTTATGCATCAGTTTATAGAAGATGTGTAATTTCAGAGCCTTCCAGTATTGACACTGCACTTGTATCTAAGAGGTTTTCAATATATGTATATATAATATTTTCTATAATTTCATAAAATTATACAATGTTGGAAGCCCAGAAAATCGACACAACCATTGTGGAAACTAATATGACAAAAGTCGGCAATAGTTATATATGTATCCACACCCAACGACCCAATACACACATTCATGGAGCTATCGTGAATGAAATTACTCAAAGGAAGGAAACCAATTGTGGGACATTATCTATCATTGTAAAAGAAAAATAATAATTACCAAACGTCAAACATTAAGAGAATATTTTTATAAATTTTAGCACATCACCAAGGTAGAATAAATAGCTATTAAATGTATTTTGTAAAGAAGATACAGAAACATGGAGAAATCACCATGATACAATGTTAAGTGAAAAAGCTGAATACACAATATCCATGTAGTCCATAAAGATGGACACAAACTGAAATGTAATCTGTAAAGATGGTATGTTTAGGAGTGATTTTTTTTTTACTCTAAAATATTTACTCACTGTATCTACCTCACGTTTTAGTAATCATTATTTTCAAGCCAACCCTTCTGATACTTGTTCCTTTAAGTGTTTTGGAAAATTTTTTGAAAATGTTAACACAGGAGACATGAAGGACTCATGGTAAGAAAACATATTCTTCCTTTCCCCACTGGCCCAACCTGCTTGTTTTCCTTAATGGTGTGGTGGTTAACAGCACAGACTCTTGAGCCAGAACACCTAGATTCAAATCCTGGCTCTACCGCATGCCAAGTGGGGCCCTTGATCAAGTTAATAATAGCTTTGTGCCTTGATTTCCTTACATGTAAAAAGAGGGATAATAGGTGGTTTCTGGTCCAGCATGCAAGGAATTTAGAAGTTGTCACTCTGTCCTAAAAAGTAAAAAGGTAACAAACTGAAAAATCAACAACTCTTCCTCAATCAGTCAGAGAAGTTAAGAGCAGAGGGCAAACCCCTGCCCCCAAAATTGGAGAGACAGACATACAGACATAGAAAAAACCAGAGTAGAAACCCACAAGCAAAAACGTCCGTGGGAAGCAGTGCCAGGGCAGGAACACCTAAACTGCACTGATGAGCTGCTAGAGGCTCAGTGAGGACAAGTCTGAGAGTGAAATATTTCAGGGAGACCCAGTAATGGGGGAGAGGGGGTATCTCCATAGTTTTGTGAGTTACCTCCAGGAGGTTACCAAGTCCTCACAGTCAAAATCAAAGAAAACTCCCCTGGTGCTTCCAGCAGAGAAAGGAGAAACCATCTTGAAATATGCCAGAGCATTCTAAACAAGATCTGCCCTCAAGAGAAACTACTTTACCAGAGCCTAACCTGTTGTCTTATCAGAGTCTAAACTACCTGGGGGAAGGGAAGTACCCAACTCCAGCTCCCTCTGGCCTTACATGTGAAAGAAGCAGAACACCCGACTCCTGCCCCCTCTAGCCACACAAGGTGGAGAGAAACTGAAAAGCACTGTTGAAGTTCATGGTCCTGGGGTGCAGGTTTACCAAAAGATCTTCTAATCAATCAGAATGCTTCACCACAGTTCCTTTTACCCAAGACACCATGCCTACTTTTCTTTTTTCTTTTTTTTTTCAATTTTTTTTTTTTTAAGATTTTATTTATTTATTTGAGAGAGAGAGAGAGAAAGCACAGAGGGAGAGTGTGAGGGAGAAGCAGGCTCCCCGCTGAGCAGAGAGCCCAATGCGGGACTTGATCCCAGGGCCCCGGGATTACGACCTACGACCTGAGCCGAAGGCAGACGCTTAACCGACTGAGCCACCCAGGCGCCCCCATGCCCACTTTTCAACAATAATTTACAAAGCGTACTAAAAGGTAAAAAGCACAGTTTAGAGTGACTGAACAAGCATCAGAACCAGAGTTAGATATGGCAGGACTACTGGAATTATCAGACCAGGAATTTTTTAAAACTATGATTAATAATGCTAAGTGCTTTGATGGAAATAGTAGACAGCATGTAAGAACAGATGGAAAATGGAAGCAGAGATGGAAATTCTAAGAAAGGATAAACAAGATTTGCTAGGGATCAAAAACACTGGAACAGAAAGGAAGACTGCCTTTGATGGGCTCATTAGTAGACTAGACACAGCTGAGCAAAGAATCTCTGAGCTTGAGGGTAAAATAATAGAAATTCCCCAAACTAAAAAGCGAAGAGAAACAAACTGGAAAACAAAAACAAAAACCAGGATTTACAAAAACTGTGGGACAACTGTAGAAAACACATGCATAGGGTCACCTGGGTGGCTCAGTTGTTAAGCGTCTCCCTTCGGCTCAGGTCATGATCCCAGGGTCCTGGGATCGAGCCCCGCATTGGGCTCTCTGCTCGGGGGGGGGGGGGGGGCGGTGCTGCTTCTCCCTCTCCCACTCCCCTGCTTGTGTTCCCTCTCTCACTGTCTCTCTCTCTCTGTCAAATAAATAAATAAAATCTTTAAAAAAAAATTTTTTTTAAAGAAGAAGAAGAGCATCTGAGAAAGAATAAGTGAAGGCCAAATGAAGACTTTTTTTTCCTCATTCTTTTTTTTTTTCATGTCTTTTATCTCATAAGTTTCCCAACAAACCAGTGAGAACTCTCAACTCAAACACAGAGCTTGTCCAAAACCAAAGAGTTAATAAGACAGAGAAGCCTGACTTGGAATGCCAGTGTCCACACCTACACTCTGAAATGTTTGTGACCCCCGTCCCTTAGAAGAGGCCTAAGTTATATGAGTGACTTGATCCAGAGGATGCATTCTGTCCTCAAGTTCAAATGATGGAGACATCTGGAGATGCAGAGAGCTCTGTTCTAAAGGTGTCTTATAGTCCATCCTTTTTCAGCCTGAAAGGCTATGGGAACTACTTGAACTAACAGCCTTTCTTTAAAAGCTAATCATCACTAGCTGCTATGGAATCAGTTAATTGTAATTAAGTCCTCATTAGTGTACAATTAAGATGCTTGCCACTCCTTAACTAGCCAATAACCAGAAATCAGTGAGAACATAGCTGATGAGCCTTTCCAAACCTCCAGGGTCAGGATTAGGTACCTCTATCTGAAACTTGTCAAAATGCTCCAGGAACCTGTTCCATAGTCTTTTCCAAAAACACAATGGAGCGCTTAGCAGGTACGTGTATGTAGCCTGTTTTCCATACATATGGAAGCAACAGAAACCTGTTAAGAACTCAGATAGAGCACTTCTGCTACTACAGACTTCAGGGTAATGGGAAGCCCCAGAAGGCTGCAGCCTGGGCTGGTCCTTAGACACCATCTTATCCCTCGGGCACACAGAGAAGTGTCCTGCCCTGACTTACAGAGCAACCTGGTATTGAAACTAGGAGGCAGCTCCAGGCTCCACATTTCAAGTCTCATACCCTCTCTGCTCCATTCTGCTAACACTCAGATGTACTGTCTGAAGTCAGATGTACTTGTCTGTATTCAAAGGCAATTTGAATACAAATTGCTTTTATGTAAATGGATTGAGTAACACAATGATACAAAGAATGGGAGGGAGGAATTAGGATTATTTAACTACACGGTACTTGCACCACTCCCGAAGTGGTATAGGGTTATTTGAAAGCAGACTTGGGTGAGTTGTAGAATGTATAGCGCAAACTCTAGGGCAACCATTAAAAAGAGTAAAAGAAACACAGCTGACCCTTGAACAACACAGGTTTGAACTGTGCAGGTCCACTTACATGCAGATTTTTTACAGTGTAGTATTGTTAAGTGCATTTTCTCTTCCTGATGATTTTCTTAATAACATTTTCTTTTCTTTAGCTTACTTGATTGTAAGAATACAGTATACAATAGGTATAACATACAAAATATAGACACAATCCATGAAAAAAGTAATTGATAAACTCTGGACCTCATTAAAATTGAAAGCTTCTGGGCGCCTGGGTGGCTC